TCCTGTTGTGATTGCATCTAGATTGTCTTTGACCTGTTCTTGGGAGGACCCTCCTCTCAGGCTGGCTAACTGTGTGGCTCAGCTCCAACCACGTTGTGTGAGCTGTTGTACGGGTGCTGGCCAGGCACGACAATACACAACCAAACTCCCAGGAAACAAGGGGTATCTTACAAAATATCTTGACAGTCACAATGAAAATAACCCAAGAGAAAGTGGAATTGGGAGAGTGAAGTGAGAATACAAATGCTAAAGCNCTGTCTCCTAGTCTTGTGGGGTGGGATTTTGTAGTGTATGTCCAGTGGGATCCAGAGGTGTGTTTTCCTTATACTTTTGAGCTATTTGCCCTAGGCATGTCCCTTTTGTGGATGTCCCTTTTGTTGGTTCTTTGGGCTGTCCTGTTGTGATTGCATCTAGATTGTCTTTGACCTGTTCTTGGGAGGACCCTCCTCTCAGGCTGGCTAACTGTGTGGCTCAGCTCCAACCACGTTGTGTGAGCTGTTGTACGGGTGCTGGCCAGGCACGACAATACACAACCAAACTCCCAGGAAACAAGGGGTATCTTACAAAATATCTTGACAGTCACAATGAAAATAACCCAAGAGAAAGTGGAATTGGGAGAGTGAAGTGAGAACACAAATGCTAAAGCAAAAAAAAAAAAAAAAAAGGAAAGGGGGGGGAAAAATAGAGAAAAGGATATTATTACTAATAGTAACAAAATTTTTTAAAAAATAATAAAATAAAAAGTAAAAAATAGAGAAGCTATTTGGAGGTAAAAGGGGCAGAGAAAAGATTCTGAAAGAAGGGTGAGCAAAAAATTAAGGGTAGAGCGTAGGAACAGGAAAATAGTTGAAAAAATAAAAATAAAATAAAGCGACAAACAAACACAAACAAAAAGACAGGAAGACGGAGAATAAAAGGGGAGAAAAAGAAAAGAAAGAAAAAAAGTTATGCCAATGGAACAAGAAGAGAGAGAGATAAAGCTGAGGCAGAGTGGGAGTCCAGTAAAAGATTTGGGGGAAACAATAGAGAAAAGCAGTAAACTTTTGGTTATAATGATACTACCCCAGCAAAAAGCAGAGAATATCCAGGAAATCTTGATAATAGAACAAAAAACAAAGCAAAACAAATTTTTTAAAAAATTAAAAAGTTAAAATTTTTAAAAAATTTCTCTCTTTCCTCCCTTTTTCCTGGAAAAAAAGTCAGGTAAGTTTCTTCTGGGCAGCTTCTGTTGTCTGAGGCTCACTGTTTGTATGCTGATTTCCATCCTCCTGGGAGGTACTTGTGTGTCAGCCAATGTTAGGAGCTGTCTAGCTCTGGTGTCCTTAGGTAGATAGTTGATCTGAGGCTCTCTGTGGACCACCTCCTCTTGTTGGCTATTTTGCCTCCCCCTTGTGGTTGCCTGGTCTTACTCCAGAGTCTTCTGAGGAGTCTTTAGGGTGCAGGCTGGCTAATGTAGCTCGGGATATTGCTCCCCTTACTTAGAGGAAAGCAGAGGGTCCCTGTATGTGGCTGCTAAGTGCAGCCCTCCAGTCCCTTTCTATTTGGGAGCCACACACTGTGGGACAGCCTTTCCTATGGTCAGCACCTGGGGTGAAAGACTCCTGTCCTCACCCCATTAGAAGCTTTGTTTCACTGAGAAGTCATGGTCCCCTCCTCACAGGCACAGTGTTCCCCTGGGTCCCTCTGCCCTCTTGCACAGGCTCTTCTTCCCTTCTATGGACTCCCAGTTTGAGATCCCAGCTTTTGGATGCCAGTCCACACTCTCAAAGGGAAGGAGCTTTGCAGCATGTAGCCCAAGGGCCTTGGAGCCCAGCACAGGCTTCAGGAAGGACTCCCCCTTTCAACACCCCCCCCCCGACTTACCAGACTCTATGATGTTTCTTCAGTGCTCCGTACTCGAAATAATGTCCACTCAGGTATATTCCTCTGGATTTTCCAAGCTCCTTATGCAGTATTTTAGCAGTAAGTCAAGTGCATGGCTCTGAGTAAGGGCACTCTGCTTCTTGTCACAGTGCCTCCATCTTCCCCTATCCCTCCCAATTCTTACCTGCCACACAGTAGTGTGGGACCAGCCCATCCTGCGTCTCTGCCCCTCCTACCAGTCTTGATGTGGCTTCTTTTTTAATTCCCTTGTTGTAGGACTTTTGTTCAGCTAGATATTAGGTGGTTCTCAAGGATCATTCTTCTGTAGTTTAGTTGTAATTCTGATGTCTAGCTATAGGATTTCTTGATCTTAGGAATGTCTGTTTTAGATTATAAAAGAGACTGACTTATGTACTCTGACACATGATTTTACAGGATCCAGTTATACGGTTTCAGGTGTTTGATGTGATGATTGTTTCAACACACAAGGTAATATACACCTTAGTATATTAGGTGTATATGTGGCACAGTAACACAATGCCCAAGCTAACAAGTTTAGTTCCTGGAGAAAAATTTCAAATAAGTTTCTTAAAAACAAAGTGTATCTTCTCTTCATTTTCTGTTTTTCCCCCCTCTCACTTTTAAGCATATATACGTTTTTTCATTTCTTTTTTTGTTTGTTTTCTCTTTTTAATTATTAATTTTGCTTTATATATCTTTTAACGTAAAAGAAATTTGCAAGCACGTTTCTTCATCCATGCAATAGCTGGTGAGGTCCCCGTGGGCCAGGCACTCTTCTAGGCTTCTGAGCAATAGGGACAGAGCAGCGGACAGGCAGGCTCGCTCTGTCCTCATGGGGTTTGCATTTTAGTAACAGGGACAGACAGCAGACAGAGCTCAGCGTTAGGAAGGAACTAGAACAGGATGGTGGGACATTGAGAGAGGAGAGCTCCTTCAGATGGGGACCCACTCTGAGGCCACATTTAAGACGTAGTCTGAAGGGTTAGGAGGAGCCAGTTGGGAGAAGAATTTGGGCAGAGACAGCAGTAGGTACCGAGGGCTTGAGATGGGAGTAAGATTAGCCTATTTGGAGATGGTTGGGATGGCCCAAGGGCACTGAGCAAAGAAGAAGATGGTGTGGGATCAAGTTGGAGAGGTAGGGAGGGCCTGCTAGGCCACAGTGGGGAGTCGCCCACTGCTTCGCATGGTCAGTTTGGCTGTTCCAGTAACCTGAGCAGCCGGCCTTTGTCTGTGGCCCTCCTTTCTGCAAGCATGTGCTTTGACTTGGCATATTTAACAGTTGTATAGCTGAGAGCTTTACACCACCAGCTGTGCATTGATTGGGAAAGTAACGGGGACCCGCCTCAACATGGATGTAACTGTATAGAAGAGTGAGTTTTCTCCCGGGAGGGGTGGAAGTGAGACCTCTTGGCAGAAAGTATGAAGGGACAGAAGACAAGACTGATAGAAAAATGGGCTCTAGTGATAGTGGTCCAGGGGTGTAGGGCCTTCACAAGGGAGAGGGGCCATCTGTTCTCACTGGCTGCAGCTCCCCAGCCTAATCTGCTGGGACTAGGTGAGGAATTCTGTCTGCATAGGGACAAAGGTGTTTTCACAGGAAGGGGTGAGAGGGCAGACATTATGAGGTGGCCACTGTTTGTATTTTGTTCTTTCACAATTAGATATTGTTCAGGTCAGAACTTTCTGTTCCATTCTTGCTTTAGGTGTTTGTGTGTTCTAGTAATTCAGGCCAGTATTGGAAGGTTTCAGACTTGTGGTAAGACTGCAGGAACCTGAAAGAGAACAAGATCGCTGTTGGCTCAGGTGACGGGGAAACCTTTGGAGGCTTCCTTCAAACTGGCTGGTGGAGGTTGGGGATAGGCCATATTCCTGGTAAAGGGAGCAGAATAACCACAGTGTGGCTCTGAAAACCCAGTGGCACAGTGTGTAACCAGCTTGACGGGCAGAGAGTGCTCCAGGAGACCCATAGAAGAGAAGACAGAGGAAGAAGAGTCGGGTTACAGGGCTGTGGAATAGTTTATCTTCCCTGCAAGAAGGGAGCCATTGAATGTTTTCATATGAGGCAATGATGGTGATGTGAAGGCAGCCATGTGCTCAGAGCTGAAGAAGACTGGGAGATGTTATATAGGCCGCTTTAAAACCTGCGTCACCAGGCCTCAAAGTTCTTTGAAGCCCTGGAAAGTACCTGGAAGAGGAGGTGAAGGGTCAAGTACTGAGAGCCTTTATCTGTTTATATGAAACATCTGAGTGAGGTTGTGTTTGGAGAAAGTGGCTCTGCCAGCTTTCTAGTGCAGCTCCCTTATGTCAGGGAAACCGAGGCCACAGAAAAGCCAGGTTGATTTGGCAAAAGATGAAGAAACACAGCTGGTTAGTTAGTTACATGACATGGACTACATCTTAGGTGTTCAAAATTTCTCTGGGCTTGTGACTGACATACTCAAGGATGTCCTGGCAAATCAGCTATCTGGGAAAAACAAAACCCAAAAACCCTCATAGTTTGCCAGTTTCTGTGGTTTAAGTACTCCCACCATGGCAGATTTCAAGACACCGATGTAATGTCACTGAAGGCCAAGGTAGGGAAAGATGTGTGTAACTGGCTCTTGCGAGCTGGGTCCCCCACCTCCCTGGCTTTGCAGCCAAGTGCTTCACTAGGTGTCGCTGACACAGTGAGTCTGTTTATATGCCCTGGAGGACACTGAGCTTATGAGGAGAAATGTAGCCATTGTTAACAATTCTAATATTGTCTTTACATAAAGACTGTTAATAAATAACAGTCCAAATAATTCTTACATTATCTATGTTTTTTATAAAACAATGTGCACATAGAGGCACCAGAAATGGTGACAGTCCTGCCGCAATTCTAAAGGAAGCTGAGAAATGTTTGTGAGTAGATTAATCCAGTAGAGTGGACATTAGAAAACAGATGCTTTAATGTGTTAAAAAAATGTTTAGCTAAAAAAAAATCTGTCGGATATTTAAATCTGAACTTTTATTCTTCCTCATTTTAGTTCTCAGGGGTCTAATTGCAGGATGAGGGGACCTGTGCTTCACAGGCTCATGCACAGGGTGCACTCCCTGAGCAGGGGGGCAGCTGTACAGTCCCTGACTTTTGCCAGGTGGGGTGGAACTCACAGCCAACGCGAGCCTTGATCTTCGAAGACTGTGCTGTCCCTGCGGCCAACAGAATTGGGAACGAGGGGCAGGGCTTCCTCATTGCCATGAAAGGACTGAACGGAGGAAGGATCAATGTTGGTGAGTACCCGAAGGGCTGGGGGGCTGGCAGGCAGCACCATCCTGGCTCAGCAGACGTGTTGGCCCTGTTCCCTTCCAGCCTCTTGCTCTCTAGGGGCTGCTCATGCCTCAGTCATCCTCGCCCGAGACCACCTCAGTGTCCGGAAGCAGTTTGGAAAGCCTCTGGCCAGTAACCAGGTAACTGTCCAGATTCCCTGCCTTTGCTTCCCAGTTCTTGCATGGGCCTCGTCTGTGGCCACATTCTCCGGGCCAGTGTGGAATTCCGCCCCCATCTTAACCAGAACGTGTGCTCTCTGTCTGGAACCAATTTTTTCCAGAGGTAATAATATTAGTGCAGGGCAAGTGAAGTGGGCTAAGAACTTACAGGGAGCACATTTTCGCTATAGAAGAGGCAGGAGGCTTTGAAGCTGCGTGAATCTTAGGAGAGGGACCTCACTGGAGGTGTCTTACAGAGGGCCCAGATCAGGAACCTCTCTAAGCCTGTCTGTCTTGTCTGGTTCTCTTGTCCCCTCTTGCTGTAGTATCTGCAGTTCAAACTGGCTGATATGGCGACAAGGCTGGTGGCCTCCCGGCTGATGATCCGCAGTGCTGCAGTGGCTCTGCAGGCAGAGCGGGCTGATACAGTGGCCCTGTGCTCCATGGCCAAGCTCTTTGCTACAGACGAATGTTTTGCTGTAAGTGGTGATGTGCTCTGGCTCTCCTTTGTGAACCGGGAGCAGCTGCTAGGTCTAGCTGTGTTGTGCCTTCAGTCAACCCCTGGGATGCTGCAGGGATCCCCTGGGGCTTAAGGATGTACGTTAACTCCTGAGGGCCTGCAAAGGAGCTCTCACAGCTGGCTTTTTACCTGTTCCAAGCCATTACACACTTTACTCCGTCACTGTCATTTGGTTGTGTTCTAGATGAGACCTACCTTTGGAAGAAGGTTCAGAGCAGCCCAGTTCCTTGTGCTCAGGTGTGCGTGTTTACAGTGTCAGGGGCAAAACCATTTCCACATTGAGGCTGCGTTGCCACGAGATGGCACCTTAGCATCATAGAATCCCAGCAGTGGTGGTTGCAGGTAGCTGCTCCCTGGGAGCCAGAAAGACAGGGGTGTCTGCTCTGCCTGTCCGCTGGGAACTGGTAAGTTCCACAGGTGGACTTCTCCTGTTGCCTCTGACCGGAGCACGTGGAGCCAGCCCCTTTTTCGCTTGGCTGGTTATTTGTAGGTTGCTCTTTCTCATACTAGTTCACAGCAGGCTGCCAGATTGGAGGCTGGTGGGGAGAGAAGCCGCTAGTTCCAGTCTTCCTGAGATTAAAGATGACTGACCCCTGTCTCCCTGCAGATCTGCAACCAGGCCTTGCAGATGCATGGAGGCTACGGCTACCTGAAGGACTATGCTGTTCAGCAGTATGTGCGGGACTGCAGGGTCCACCAGATCCTGGAAGGTAAACATTTCCAGAGGTGCTCTCTCCCTTCCGGAGTGGGGACAGGATCACCAGCCTTGTTACTGGGTCTCAGGGTTCCCCTGGGCTCTGTCTGTCTAGGCATCTTCCTCCCTGCCTCCTCCTAACCCTGGTCTGGAAGACCTGTGGTGCCATTCAGAGAACACTAGCCTGGGAGCCACTTCACGTCTCATCTTTTTCTTTGTAAATTTTAGAGACGGTTTAAACTGAGATAATATATGAGAAAACACTCTGAAAACTCTAGCAGTGACTACTCTTTACTGTTGGAAAGTAAGTAAGTGGTCCTCAGGAATCCCCAAACTTCTGTACAGTAAGTTATAGGGCAAATGTGAGCCAATTTGATCACCACTGCCTTTACAAATTGGTTATCAGCCAGACAGCCTAAAAGATTATCTCTATCAATATTGCTACTGCATTTTTCAGAACTGTAAGTCATTAGTATATGGGTATTTTCTTGGTAATCACACATTTGGACTAGGAAATGTTAAGCTATTAGAGTCACGCTCAGAGCATGGCCTTCTCTCTCCACACCAATGCATGTCTTGAAATTTCATCACTGTTGTTCCAGCTAGTGTAGGTGTCCGGGGTTGTTACACTGTAGGAAGAGTAGATGGGCAAAGGCCTGTCTAAACGGTTCTCAGGAAATAATATGGAGCTGCTTTAATGGGGCAGAGAAGCCTCTGAGCATTGGCTTTCCTGCACTTTCAAAGGAGCCTTCTCAGACATGAGCACACAGGAGAATCACCTGGAGGGCTTGTGAAAACAGATTGCTGGGTCCCACCCCCAGAGCTTCTGTCTCCGGGGGTCTTGGGTGGCCAGAGAATTTACATCTGTAACAAGTTTTCAAGTGAGGCTGCTGCTGCTTGTGTGAGAACCACACTCTGAGACCCACTGCCCTGTGTTGTGTTGAAATCACAGGCTCCTAAAGGTTAGTCTCTGCTGTCAGCTGCACACGTCACCCCTAAAGTGTGTTTATGAGCTCAACTGCTAGTGCTCAAATTAAATCGGTCTTACTCTTCTGCTGTAGTCTCAATCCTCTACTCCCACGGTTACTTTTCCCCCCAGCATTGTGCATGTAGGAAACTACCTTCATTGTAACTCTGCCTTGTAGCCCTGTTGAGTAAATGGGAAAAGCCAGGTACGTTTATATCAGGCCACATTGATCTTCATCATTTTGTTTTATCATGGGCTTTGTTACTGGATAAATCTGAAATTTTAGATTTAATTTTATTTGAGATGTGTGATTAGTCATCCCTCAGACATTCATACTTCTCTGCATTAAAGGGCATTGTAGAAATGACACAAGCCATTGCCCCTCAGGGAAAATGTTTGTTCTTTTCAAATTGAGTGTTCTGATTACCAGAGAAATTTTGTGTATTGTTGAAAATTTATAAAATACAGGGTAAGTTAAAAAAAAATCACGTCTCCACATCTAGAATTAATAACTTGGACTCCTCTCATATTTAAGTCCAAAAATACATCTTTTGGTCTTTTTCTATGCTTGTATAGGTACATTTTTTAAAAACAGAATTGTACTATATATACCTTTTCTTTTTTTTCTTCTTTTACCTAATGTAAGCATTTTTACCTTCAGGAGAGGTTTATTTACTTATTTAAAGAGTAGCTTAATTGACTTCTAGAGAGAGAGGAAGGAAGAAGGAGAGAAGCATCTATGTGAGTGTCACAGCTATCGGCTGCCGGGGACGGAATCCAAAACTCAGGCCTGTGCACTCACCTGGAGTCCACCTGGCCACCTTTCAGTGCCCAGCTGACTGAACCACACCACCAGGACGGAGAGGCTTTTTGTTTTTAGGGTTTTTTAAGACGTTGTTTTTAATATTAATTGATTT